ACCGTGAACCAGACATTTATGAATGGAAAGTGTTACCATTTGGAACAACCTGCAGTCAATGCTGCGCAACCTTTGCTCTGAGGACACATGCCATTGACATTTAAACTGAGTATCCAGAAGTTGCTGAATCGATTCTCCAATCCTTTTATGTAGACAACTGCTTGGAAAGTGTTTCAAATGTTACTGAATCCAAAATGAGAAAACTTGCCATTGGAGGTTTCAACGTGCGTCAGTGGGCCAATAACAGCGAAGAGGTCATCAGAAATCTTCCAGCCAATGCTTAGTCTGAGAGCTGTGAGCTATGGCTTGCACCAGAGAATGAAGACCCAAAGGAATAACCCCTCTGTCTCAGTTGGAACTGTGTTGAAGATGAGATCTCTTACAAGTACCAGCCAATCTCATACCTTCGGCTGACAATGAAAGTTGTCTACAGGAACTTTGCCAGCCAGTATGATCCACTTGGCTATCTCTCGCCCCACCAATCCAGAGCCAAAGTGCTGGTCCGAGAGCTCTGGATAAAGAAACGTCAATGGGATGAACCGATAGAACCTGGTCATATTCTACAAGATTGGAACACTTGAGAATCAGAACTCTGTGAAATGTCCACGATTCATCTCGCGAGATGTTACCACCCCCGATCCATTCAAGCTGCCATTCTGCAGTTGCACATCTTTTGTGACGCCTCTCAGAAGGTGTATGGAGCTGTAGCGTATCTGAGAATTAATGAAGATGGCGAGAGTAGTATCGCCTTCATGTCAGCTCGGAGTCGAGTTGCTCCAAAGAAGTGCCTTTCCATTCCGCGCCTTGAATTCTCTGCAGCATTACTAGGTGCTCAGCTGAGTGTAACTTTGACCAATGAGCTAACTCTACCAATCACTAGTGTTACTCTGTGGAGTGTCTCAACAACTGTTCTCTCCTGGCTCAAGTCAGATTCCTGCAGGTACAAAGTATTTGTGGGCATTAGAGTGTAGAGTGGCAGCGATCCAAAACATAACTGAGAACACAGCTGGAGATATGTTAGTACCAGAGACAAACCCGCTGACAAACCCATCACTCGTGGGCTCACATTAAGTCTTCCACAAAGTCTAGATGGAGACATGGCCGATTTTTCCTCTCTGATCCCCCTGAACAGTGGCCACTATGAAAAGCGAAGTTTGTGGAAACCCCAAATGAACTGAAGAAGACCTTCTGTGGTATAGCTACCATGTTTTCTGATATGTCATCTCATGAAGCCTGGGACTCCTCTGTTGACTCACTCAGATCCAATATGTGTACCTCTCATGGAGCGGCTGCTCCAGACTTGCCACCCGTGACCTTGAGCATGAACTTTTTCGCAAGATACAGAAAGAATCCTTCCCTGAGGAGCACATTGCACTCTCAACTGGGAAGCCTCTCAGTTCCTCCAGCAGAATGGTGCAACTGAGTCCGTAGTATGAGCCAGAAACAGGTCTTATTCGAGTAGGGCGAAGGTTGAGGAACTCAAGTCACATTCCCTCCATCCGTCCAATTGTTTTGGATCCTAAAGACCCTCTCACTAAGCTCTTGATCAGACACTATGATGTGAAGCTTCATCATTATGGCTCCGAACGCGTGTTCACTGAACTGCGACGACAGTGTTATGATTGCCAACGCTGGAGGGCCAATCCTGAGGTTCCAAAGATGGCTGATCCATCCCCTGCGAGACTACGGCTCTTCAAGCCTCCTTTCTATTTCACCGGAGTAGATTGTTTTCGGCCAATGTACATTAAAATTGGCCGCCAAAGATAGAAACGATTCGGAGTGATCTTCAAGTGTCTCACAACCAGAGCCGTTCATCTGGATCTGCTGGAATCCATGGACACGGATGCATTCCTGATGGCTCTTCGTCGTTTCATCTCCCGAAGAGGTAAACCCCATGAAATCCTGTATGACTGTGGAACGAACTTCAAAGGTGGTGAAAGGGAACTGTCTGAAGCGTTCCAATCCATGAATCCAGACCTGGCCGAGTGTCTCTCCAAACAGCAGATTCAAATTCAATCCACCATATGCTCCTCATTTTGGTGGTACCTGGGAACGAGAAATAAGATCTGTGAAACATGAACGTCGTAGTGTTCTAGGTCTTGAAGCAGTGCACGAAAACACACTAGGGACTGTGTTGGTTGAAGTTGAAGCAATACTGAACTCTAAACCCCTTGGCTATGTATCAAGTGATGTCTCCGATGTTGACCCTGTTACTCCGTTCTCACTGCTAATTGGGAGGCCAAGTCCGTCCCTTCCCCAAGTGGTCTACCCTGCTGAGCAGAAACTAGGGAAGAGCCGCTGGCGACACTGCCAGACTGTAGCTGATCACTTCTGGAAGACGTTTATCTAGTTCTACTTGCCCAGTCTGCAGCTGAGAGATAAGTGGTACAAAGATGGACTTGAACTCAAAGTTTGAGACCCTGTTCTGATCGCTGATAGCCAACAGGTCCGAGGACAGTGGCCTGTTGGAAGGATTGTTGAAGTCTACCCTAGCCCTGATGGCAGAAAATCCGGTCTGCTGTCGTACGCGTATCTGGGGGAGACAAGTACCACAGACCAGTGACGATGCTGGTGCTGCTGCCAGAATTGCCAGACTTTCGGGGATAATTTTAAATCCTATTTCGTTTTAATGTTCCTTTACCGTTGTTTATGTCAATTCCTAGTCCTTGTTCGATGTACTGTGTGTAAAAGTGATGTAATTAAACAGCTGTCAAACTGAATCAAATCGAATAGTGCCTTCTAGTCAAGACACAAAGATAAAACCTATCTGTATGTACGGCGCAGAATTGTGGGGATATCAAAAGTATGAAGTCTATGAACGGATACAAATAACAACCTGTAAAAGATTCTTAGGAGTACCGAGTAATACACCAAATGTACTGGCTACTGGTGAGTGTGGCAGATTCCTAATTTATGTAGAAACATTTATTAGATGCATTAGCTATTGGTTATCCTTACTACACATGACAGATAATAGACTTACTAAAAAGCTTATTATATGATATTTTGTTTAGATATACAAAAAAAGAGTTAGCTGGGTATTAGAGAATCATTATTTAAGCTTAGTATCGGATACGCATGGTTATATCAAGAAATTGGACATTGTCAATTATTTTTGAACGAGATAAAGATGAGACTAAACGATGTTTCTGTACAAGAGTGGCATTAAATTTTAACTGAGAGTACTTGATACGACACTTGTTCTTTATATTTCTTTATCATTCTTTAACATTCAAATTTGAGACGATACTTAGCTTTACTAAGAGGTGCCCAATTACAGGTAGATATCGGACGTAGAAATAGTACACCTAAAGAAGATAGGATTTGTTGATTGTGCAACTTAAATGTAAATGAAGATGAATTCCATGTTATTTTCAAATTTACATTATATAATGAAATTAGACAACAATATATTTCATAGAAATACATTAAGAAATGTAATTTTGTAATGTTTTGTATGCTTATGTCTGATATTATAACTGCTACAGAATCTACTTGATAAAGTGAATAAATATTGCTCTTAATACAAACTGTTCTTTGCATGACATTAACTGTGGCTAATGGAAGACGATAGGATCACAATTCAGTTTTCAAAGATAAAGAACTAAAAGCAGTAATAATCAAAGTCATGAAAAAGAAATCCCATTTCAAATTAAAGCAATCGGAAAAGAAAGATGTGTCTATGGATGGACCTTTGGTAAACATCCAAAGAAAATAGAGAAGAATAGAGAAGAAAATCTAAATCAAATCATTGATTTCTTAAAGCAAAAGTTAAAGATTTGGACAGAAGGAGATAAAATGAATCACTGGATTTTGATAAGTGTGTTTCAAAGCTAGCAACAGAGCAAGATTTTTCTCAATGACTGAATAATTTAGTTGAAGATTGCATCTTCTTGCAAAAAGGCACCAGTGTCACTTGGATCTGTGCTATTAAAAACAGAAGGGGATACTCGATTTGGGGTGATATTATTTTTGGAACCAAGCTGTATTATTGTTGGTGGATTGAGAAAATCAGTATTCAATAGACAATTTCATGCAAATTTTTGGGCTCTTGACATCTCACAATCAGTAACAGATTATCATCATGACATTGACAAATAACATTGATGACAGTGAGTGAGTGAGTGAGTGAGTTTAGTTTTACACACGTTTAGCAATATCCCAGCCAAATCATGGCAGGGGACACCAGAAATAGGCTTATGACATTGTACCCATGTGGGGAATCGAAACCGGAGTTCGGCGTGATGAGCGAACACTTTAACCCTCATTGACGAAGGACATTGATCTGGTCTACCAACGCCCACACGATTGTTTCATTAGAACAACTGTGTTATATAACTGAAGTGCCTTGGAGAAGACCTTCACAGATCTACAGAGTGAATGGATAGTTGATTCGTAATTGGCTACACGGATGGAACGTGCATGCCTGACGTCCATGCTATACACTATGGATTGACGGTCCATCACATTACTGCATGATGTCACTGGTGTCAAGAAAGGCACCACTGGATCAATCATTGTTTGGCAGCTGTTATGTTCTCAGATGAATCAAGGTTCACTTCAGCAGACACAAAAGAGATTGAATGCGGCATTGATGGAATTATTGTTTTCATGCCTTTAACATTAGAGAGAATGATTGTTTTCGGGATGGCTCAGTAATGGCTCAGTAATGGTTGGGTACCATCACTGTGACTGGCAGAACACTAATGTGACACCATCCTGGAGGGATACGTGCTCCCATTTTAATGCCAACATGGAAATCGTTCGGTGTTTCAGGATGCGGCGCAAGAGCACACACGGTTTGTATTGTTACCAAGTACCTCCTACAGGAGAAAATAACCACCTTAATATTGGCCAGCACTCAGTCCAGTCAAAACACTATTCATTTGGGGATATTTTGATCTAACAAATTAACAACTTTCAGCAAACGGTATAAGAACCAGGTATTCATGTTGAAGCATCATTGGCTTAGACATATATGTTGGTTAAATCACACTTACCATTGTGGTTTCACTCACAGAGTCAAAGCTCAAGAGAAACAGCTTTATTGTCACATTTGTGGGGACATCTGAAACACAATTGAAGAAAGTTTATTTTCATTACATGTGACAAAGTTTATCATGTGAAGGTTGACCAAATGTCATTCACTTGTTTGTTTGCTCCCGACTCAATATTTAAAGTGCTGTCCTGGTATTGCATCTAACTTTATACCTGTAATACACCATTATTACAACTGCACTATGTTTACCCCCCATAATACACCATTGCTAACCACCAATCTAACTAACTTTATACCTGTAATACGCCATTACTAACCACAAATCTAACTTTGTACCTATAATACACCATTACTATCCACCCCTCTATCTTTGTACCTATAATACACCATAACTATCCACCCATCTAACTTTTGTACCAGTAATACACCATAACTATCCACCCATCTAACTTTTGTGCAAGTAATACATCATTACTATCCACTAATCTAACTTTTGTACCAGTAATACACCATTACTAACAACCAATCTAATTTTGTACCTAGAATACACCATTACTATCCACCTCTCTAACTTTGAACCTATAATACGCGATTACTATCCACTAATCTAACTTTATTCTTGCAAAACACCATAACTATCCACCCCTCTAACTTTGTACCTAGAATACACCATTACTACCCACCCCTCTAACTTTGTACCAGTAATACACCATTACTATCCACCCCTCTAACTTTGTACCTATAATAAACCATTACTAACCACCCCTCTAACTTTGTACAATTAACACACCATTACTATCCACCCCTCTACCTTTTGTACCAGTAATACACCATTACTATCCACCTCTCTAACTTTGTACCAGTAATACACCATTACTACCACCTCTCTAACTTTGTACCTATGATACACCATTACTATCCACCCTTCTAACTTGTACTTTGAAATACACCGATACTACAACTGCACGAGCTTTACTCCCTCTAATACATTATTACTAAACATCTCTCTAACTTTATCCCTGTAACGCACCATTATTACTTCTGCACTAGCTTTACCCCCGTAAATTACTCCATTATTACGAACTTCACACCTGTAATAAAATAGCCCCAGATAAATTTCATTAAATCCAAATCTATTTCTCCCATATCCACCACTATCCTTTAGCTGAGAATTCCTGAAAACAAGAAGGCAAATAGTAAGGTCTACAGGCAAGGTACAGGAATTGCCACCCACCCGAATCCCCTTAAACTGGTCACTTTAAACCCATCCATTAGTTTTTATGCGTTGAACATTCACAGCAAATAAACAAGGGAATTGAACTTACCTTTTTCATATTCTGGGGGAACACGTGGGTCATACGCCTTTTTGTCATTAGCTTCTGTTTGGTTGAGAAGGAAACTTATCAACTCGCGTCTGAAAGGAGAACATAGGAAGGTAGACTGTATAACCAAAAATAGGAACAACACAAAAGAACTGTTCAAACTGTTGAACGAACTTCTAAAGGGACCTCTGAACACAAGCTCCCCGAGCATTGTGCTCCAACTGTTCTGGCTAACAACTTTGCTACATTATTTCGGGACAAGATACATCGGATAAGAACCAATCTTGATACAGGATACACTCAAACTAGTTCTGCTCTGATGGGAGCAGGTACTCTGGTCATGTGTTTGAAAGCTTCGGACACCTTTCTGTCCAGCTTGTACTGGATATCATGAAAAATGCGCCATCTAAATCTTCCCCACTGGATCGCATTCGTACCTGGCTGTTCAAGTCTAGTCTGTGCTACACCATTTAGCACCTGCAGTCTGGGACATTATGAACTCTCTTCTCTGGTAATGTTCCAAGTGTTTACGCCAGTTCTAAAGAAACCTGGAGCTGATGGAAACAATTTGAAAAATTTCCGTCCAACTTTTCATTTATATCTAAATGTTTAGAGAAAGTGAAAGCTGCTAAACTGAAGGCGCAACTTGAGGTAAAACCACCTCACAGAATCGTTCCAGCTTTGGTGCGAATCCGCAACGACATCTCTTTGTCAGTATGGGCCAAAAGAAGGTGACAGCGCTTGTGCTCCTTCACCTATCGATACCATAGATCATACCTTACTCCTACATCGACTTGAAGATCGCATTGAAACCTGACTACTGTAACTCCCTACATCCCAACCTCTCCACTAAATCACCCAAGAAAATACAAAGAATCCAAAATCAGGAACACTTCAGCGAAAGTACCTTATAAATGTCTGCAAAAAAAACATCTGTTCACTGCTGCCTTTCTGTAAAACCTGTATGAACTATTTCCTTCCCCAATATTGTAACAGTGCCACTAAGCATCTCTATGGTGGATATTAGAAGCTTTAAAAATTATTATGTTTTACAGATTAAAGATAGTATGCAGCAGAGACTGTTCGGGTGTACCTGGCATAGTCAGGCTGGTAAGGCTCATCATCAGCTCAGGGCCCTTGCCCTCTCTACACGCAGCCCAGACAGCGAATGGGACTTCTCCCAGGAAATGCTGCCTAGTCGAACCCACCATCAACTTTCCGGAGAACATGTAGACTCCCCAACACTGCAGCCTTCTGCATTACCCAGAGTGTCAGAAGGTCTGTGAACCCGGGCTCTCTCCTGATCTGCACCAAGAGATCAGGAGATACCAAACCAAGGGCACCGAGAACAATGGGGAGTCTAACGACAGTGTACTTGAGATGCAATAGTATTATTACCTGTAACTTCAGCATAAAACATTCGATCAAAATCGGATCATGATGGACATCCGTGAAGAGCAACCTCCTCGTGGTGTATACTGGATAACGCTAATAGCTTTTCCCCAGTATGGGCCCGTGGTAGAATAGGCCCCTTAGCACGCCATTGCTGGTCATAGGAGGCGACCAAATTGGGCAACCTGTTTGCCGTGGGTTGCGTCCCTGTGTCGGTGGTTGAGGATGACGGAACTGGCAATTGGCTGGTCACTCCTTGCCCTGTGAATGTTTACACTAAATTTGGTATTACACGTTTGGACATTTTCAAAATGTTAACTGATTTTCTGCCAAAACCAAACTAACTTGCAGACCCATGCACAGAAGGCTGCCGCTCACGGGCCAATCTGGTATTGCTAACCTCCGATTTCAGTACGTCTCCATTTGATTGTCATGGACAGAACCATCCTGACCGTTAATCTGGTAGACAGCTGCAGCATTTCATGTCAAGTTCGCTATATACCTGTCCCTCACAGCCAGATTCACTATCAAGAAAGACGGTGTAGTTCAATCAACAAAGACCTATCTCTTTACGTTGGCCCGATCGAAGATTCCCGACTCAATTAGAGCTGGTTATTGGTGTGGAGATGTATGTACCTAATCCACTCGGGTGCTACAACTGCCAAAAGTTTGGACATGGATCCAGGTACTGTCGTTCTTTTGCTACCGTTTGTTACTGTGATGACAAGCATGAGAGCAATGACTGTACTATGGAAGTGAAGTGTGCAAACTGTGGTGATAACGATATGGCCTCTTCCAAATATTGTCCCGCGTGGCAACGCGAATCAGAGATCATAAAGATCAAACACAGAGAAAATGTCTCCTTTCATAAAGCTAAGAAGGGGGTTGCACGCCTAACTGCATCTTCTTCAACTATCTCCTACTCGTTTGCTGTGTCCCGTCCTACTATCACTACTGCGTGGCAGACCGATCTAACATGGGTCAAATCTTCTCAGCCCATCTCAGCCACTTCATCTTCAAAACCAAAAGTTAAAACTTCTGAATCACAAACACCAGAACCATTGCCAAAGCCAGAAACAGAAACGTAACACCCAAAAAGGAAAGAAGAGAAACTACAGAGTCTAAAGCAGCATGAGCAATTGCCTAACCCCAAACCAAAGGTTACCTCTCCTTTAGAGGCAGATAGTTGGAGACCAATAACCTCCTTAGAGACATCCAATGTGGTTTCGGAAAAAACCTAACTACCATTGACCATTTGGTGCGTTTGGAATCATTTATCAAAAATTCTATTGTCACCAAAAATATACCGTATCTATCTTTTTCGATATTTTAAAGCATATGATACAACGTGGAAACATGGTATCTTAAAAAATTTGTCTGAATTTGGATTGAGGGGTAGACTACCTCCGTTCATATCTCAGTTATTAAACATCAGCCAGTTTCAAGTAAGAGTGGGTTCCACACTGATTATTTCCACCAAGATCAGGGCGTCCCTCAAGGCAGCATCGTGTCTATCATACTTTTCAGCATCAAAATTAACAACCTCACTAACGTTTTAAACAGTTGTGTTGATGGGACCCTTTTTTCGTTGATGATTTCAATATTTCATACCGTGGTAAAAATATGCACGCAATGGAAAGGCAGATACAACTCTTGATAAAATACAAAAATGGGCCAATGAAAATGGCTTTAAGTTTTAGAAATTCAAAACAAATTGGATGCACTTTTGTCGTAAATACAAACCACACAACGATCCAGACCTATCTTTAGATGGTACTCCCATCAAGGTTGTAAAAGAGGCCAAATTCCGGCGACTCATATTCGACCGTCACTTGAGGTCACTTTCTTACCACACATAAAATATTTGAAACCAAGTGCTTGAAGGCTCTTGACTTGCTGAAAGTCGTTTCAAATACTTAGTGGGGATGGGATCAGACTACCCTCCTTCACTTCACTGCAGTATATCACTAAATTACGTTCAAATCAGTCCAATCCAGCATACAATTGTGTTTTCAAGGCTCTCTAAAAAACCTGTTTCCTAATCTGCCATGCCTGGAATCAGAATTCAACCACACATATCTGCAGCTAAGATTGATCTCAATATAATAGCACCTTCCCGACTTCTGTCTTGATGGTTAAGCCGCAGGTGGATCTTTCCCTAACCAAACTCAAAAAGTCCGAAACAAATCCTTTGGTGTTCCAACAGAAATAGAACCAGTTACGTTCCAAGTAAACACCCATAGATCCATTTTTACACACGGATCCAAGGATGATGGCCACGTTGCCAGTGCCACTGTCATTGGACAAAAGACTGTCTCCACCAGAATACCAGACAATAGTTCCATTTTCACTGCTGAGGCTAAAGCTAATTCACAGATTTGACCTATATTAAACAGCAGAACCATTTCAAAAAACTTCATCATTTTACAAACTCTCTGTCCTGCCTTCAATCACTTCAAAATGTCACTTCGAGTCACCCTATCATCCTAGACATTTTAGAACTCTACAACGATCTTTCTACTGGCCAATGTGACATCGTCCTCTGCTGGTTGCCGGGTCACGTCGGCATAGCAGGTAACACAAAAGCCGATGCTACAGCTAAGTCAGCTCTTGACAAACCGTTATCCTCAATACTGACCCCGTATATAGTGATTTCTTGCCCACTATTAAAAGTTACACGCAAGACCTCATGCAAAGGGTGGGGCACCCAAATAAGAAGAAATTAACTTCAGGAACTGAAACAAACAATCGGTTATACTAACTTGTGTAGTCAGTCAAGACGTGATGAGGTAATTTGCGACGATGTCGCATTGAAAACAGTCGATTTACCCGTGACTATCTGCTAAAAACGGTTGGAGATGGACCTCCTATGTGTATCTCTTGCGATGAAGTGTTCACCACAAGCATATTCTGCTTGACTGAGTAGGCTTTTCAACTGGACTCTCATTATGACTGACTGACTGACTGAGTTTGGTTTTACGCCGCTTTTAGCAATATTCCAGCAACATCACGGCGGGGGACACCAGAAATGGGCTTCACACATTGTACCCAGGTGGGGATTCGAACCCGGGTCTTCGGCGTGACGAGCCAACGCTTTAACCATTAGGCTACCCCACCGCCCACTCTCATTATGAAGCAAGGAATCTGAAAGATCTATTTTCCCGCGCCAGCGGGCATATCATTTTGAACTATTTAAGAGAAATTGATCTGTATCATAAATTGTAACTATGTAATGTGAATGACGGATTGCTTGTTTTTAATTTGATGCTATGACATATTTTGTTTGTAGATAATAATTAAATGAAAAAATATTTTTTCAAGAAACTCATTTGGACTTTGTACTTAAAATGTGTATGAATACAGACTTGGTCTCGTTGCTATATGGCTGGAATAATGCCGATGTGACGTAAAACTCAACTCAGCTAAACTCGGACCATCATGTGTGAAATATGAATAGCACAATATTAAAATACTCGTTATTTGTACAAAATACATAAATCACTCACTGGGGTCGTTATAAATGAAACCCCGTCATAAAAACTACTCATTTCTATCTTTAATTAACTTAAATCGACCTTTTTTGACAACAGTGCACAATTCTCACCCGCGAACGAAATTTCAACCAATCAGAGGGGCGCCTCTCCGTGACATAATGTGAGGAATAGACATGAGGGTCGATGTAGAATTCATGTACATTTCA